GCCGCGGCCACCCCAGCCCCTGCCCCGCCGCAGGACCCCGGCTGGGCCCGAGGGGCTCCTGCGGCCTGTGCGCGGGCTCTACCACGGGCGGCACCGGGACCCGCCCCGGCCGGGCCCTGCCACCGCCCAGCTCCCGGGGCTGTCCCCAGCGCCCACCTAGCACCAGGGCTGTCCCCAGCACTTACCCAGGGCCGTCCCTGGCACCCCCCCCGGGCTGTCCCTGGCACCCCCCACGGACTGTCCCCGGCACCCACCCGGGGCTGCCCCTGGCACCCACCCAGCACCCTGGGCTGTCCCCAGCGCCCGTCCCAGCCTGTCCCTGGCACCCAGAGCTGTCCCTGGCACCATCCCACCTGCCCCAGCACCCCAACTCTCTCCCCAGCCCCCAGCCCGGGCTGTCCCCGACACCCTGCAGTGTCCCTGTGCCCACCCACTGGGGACACAGGAGACGCTGTCAGGGGCCCCAGCAGATGGGGCTGTGTGAGCCCCTCATTTGCCATCGTCTTCTTCAGCCCCCTGCGGGGTGTCAGGGGGTGCCCATCTCACCTCCCTCCTCCCAGCACCCCTCCCTGGGGCTCCAGCCCCCCAAGAACCAGCAGGCAGAGGCAGCTGTCAGCAGGGAGCACTTTACCAAGCTGGCGAGATTTAAAAGTACAACATTCAGAAGCCCGCGCCGTGGTGGGACCAGGGGGTGCTGCCACCGGGCTCTCCCCCGGGGACCACGAGCTGCTTGTCCCACAGCGAAGCAGCTGCAGAAACGGTTCTGCACCCGAAGCCGGAGGGCGGAGGGAGCAAGTGGCCAGGGGCCTGGAGCTGGTCGGCTCCACCGGGAAAGCCCGTTCCTCCGGCCAGGAAACTGAGGATCTCCGTGCCATGGCCTGACCCTAGCTCAGCGGCCAGTGTTCACCCCAGACACCTCTTACCCGGCAGCAGACACAGCGGTGCTGGGTCTCTGCAGGGGTGTCCCCACCCTGTGCCTGTCCCCAGCCCGCTGTGCCAGCTCCTGTCCCCCCACGGCCGACAACGCTCCCACCACCTCCGCCACCACCAGTTTCCTGAGCAGTCATGTGCAAAATGTACCCGTCCCCAGAGCTTCCCTCTCCCGTCCCCGGGGCCCCATCCCCGCCAGGCCAGCACCCTGCTGCCGGGCCTGGGAGCAGCGGGAGGGCTGGGTGCCGTGGGACGGAGATGGAGCGGGGAAATTTGTCAGAGCTTTTTTTTTCTTCTTTTTTTTTTCTTTTTTTTTTTTTTTTTCCTGAGTTTCTCAGCCTGGATCTTAATTACAGGCTTAAATCCGCAACCCCGGGAGAGGGAAGGGAGCGATGTGCAAGGAAAAGGGGAGGGAGGGGAGGAGGAACCAACCGCAAGGAGAGTGAAGCCTCTTTCAGGGTCAGATTCAGCACGGGGGTGTGGATGAGGAGGTGTTTATGGGGGCTGTGTGCCGGGGGGGGGGGGCACAGACCCCCCCAGAGCAGCCCTGGCCCCTGGGGAGGGCAGCCGGAGGGCCCCATGGTGCCTCCCCTTCCCCAATGCTGCCCGGATCCAGCCACATCACTCTCCCCCCAGCACGAGGGGGCTGGGCACACCGGAGCTTGCGGAAATCTATAAAGAAATAAAGCGGAAACTTTCCTAAACACCCTGTTTCTTTCTCGGCCACAGCCCAGCCCTTCCTCCCCTGCCACGGGTGCGCAGCCACACTCTGCCCGGAGCTGGGGCTGGCACTTCCCCTCCTCGCTGCCCCTCACCATGGCCACTGCCACCGACAGCCGGGGCTCCCTGCTGGAGCCCAGCCAGGGAGCAGCAGCTGGGGACGGGGAGGGGACAAAACCCACCCTGTGCCTGCCGTTGCGACCAGGGCAAGGGCTGGCACCGCAGCTGGGGAGGTGCAAACCACCCCTTTGCCTGAGCTGGGCACCGCAGCCGTGCCAGCACCGCATCCCCCTGCGCCGTCGCGGCACAGGCAACCTCAGCGCAGCAGTGGCACGGGCAGCCTCGCAGGCACACGTGGCCACAGGGCTCAGTCCCAGCCCACAGGACACCCAGGGGACTGCCACCTGGCTGGCTCGGGGACACGCCTGTGCCAGGGGTACGGTGGCACTGCCAACAGCACTCTCGGGACAGTGGTGGGGTGCACCCCGGCATTGCTCGCACAGCTCCCCAATGGCCAGCGGGCACGGGGGGAGCAGCGGGTAATCCCCGAGGGACCCCAGGAGTCACCTGGGAGGTGGCTCAGGTGACATCTGGCTGGGTTTGCCCCCAGCTCGCTGGCAACCCAGGACCTCCAGTGGCTGATGTCTGCAGGAGATGCTGTCGCAGGGTCCTTCGGTGCGATGCAAGAGGCAGGGCTGGGGAAGGCTTCCCCGGCCAGTGCTGCAGCCCGCCCTTCCCGCAGCACCCCACGTCACCCCGAGTCGACGGCACCAGCGCAGGACCCGGGACGCTGGCAGGGAGCTGGGGGGGGGCAGCAGACCCCCACGTGGCTGGCGTGGTGAGGATCCCCGGGACAGGCAGCAGAGGTGACCCTGGGGTTTGCTTTTGGACCGAGAGCTGAGGAGCTCCGAAATGCAGCATTTTGGGGGCTTTTGAGGGGCTGGGGTTTGGTTTGAGGTCGTGGCACTGGCTGCGGACGCCGGGGAGGACGCTCGGGATGACGAGGGGGAACCACCTGTGGCTCTTCAAAAGCAACCTCAATTCCAGCCGCCCCCCTTACATCTTCCCAAAGTACGTCTCCGTGGATCCAGCCGAACTCAAACCTGGGATCTTTGCCTGGGAAACTCAAGGTACAATGTCAAATGAAAGAGAATTAAAACATCATCACCACTGTGCATTAGAAAAGCCATTTAAAGTACCACATGCCGAAGTGACCAAACAGTTTCAAGCGAGCTCCGCTGCGGGCGCTGAGCGACGCCGGGGGCTGCAGTCCCGCTCCGCAGGTGCCTTCGGTCCCAGGAGCTGGCTCAGCCGGGGACGGTCCCAGCCCTGGTGCCGCCTCTTCCTTCCCTCCTGGAAAGGGCCCAGCTCTGCCAGAGACACCGGGGCTTGGGCTCCAAACGCTGCCTCTCAGCTGGCAGCTCCCCAAGGAAGAAACACAAGCAGAAGAAAACCCCCGGTGGGACAGGAGGACTCCCCCGGGCAGCCAGGACACCCCTCCTGGAGCAATCCTCCTCTCCAGCCATCTCCAGCCCTTCAAGGCCAGAAGGGACCACGCAAGGTTAGGGCTGGCTTTTGGGGTTGTTTGCACCGTCCAGCTCAGGGGCAAACTCCGTCATGACCCTGCGAGCCAGTGGGTTTGTGGTCTTGAGCAGTTCAGCGGCCGATGGCCGGGTCCCGGGGCTGGTTTTGCTGCTCTTCTTCTGGAGCAGGGCTTTAAAGTCTTCGTTCCTGCTGGAAGACTTCCCGGTGCCGCCTGCTGGTGCCGGGGACTCGCCAGTTGGGGAACCTGAAGTCTTTACGGGCGAGTGGGAGTTGGGCCGGCTGCCAAAGCTGTCACCAGGCTCCTTCCGCCCCAAGACCTTCCTCTTGGACCTAGGGACCAAAGGGACACGTGGTGGCAGCAGCCCTGGGTGGGAGCTGCTGTCCCTCTGGGGGGAACGAGGTCCCACAGGAAGGGGCAGGTGGCTGTGCCTGCCCCTGGGACAAGAAGCCAAGCCAGGCATGGCAGGCGATGCACCCCGCTGCTGGCAAACCCTCCCCTGGCAGCTAGGTCCAGCTTGCCCCGAGGCTGATGGGGCAGTGGACCACCCCCCTGTAAGCTGGGTGGCCGCAGACCCAGGGTGCCAAACTCTGAAGCGCTTGAGGCAGCAACAGCCGGGTTGTCCCCAGGTGTGAGCATCGGGGAGAATTCCCAGTGTGGAAAATTGAAGGAGTCGTGGCGGTGGGGACACTGGGCCCGGCCCTGGGACCACGGCAGGATGCCCACCCGGTGCCACCCGCCAGCCCTACCTGTGGATGACGGTGAAGAGATCCTCCGTGGTGCGGGATGTCATGAACACGTCGTCATCTTCCTCCGCGATGGAGTCGGCCGTCTTGTCGCTGGCAAAGCTCTTCTCCTCCGTGCCGGCCTCTGCCGAGCTGCCTGTGAGCAGGGAAGAGAAGGCAGCCGTGAACCCCCCTGTGCGGGTGCAGGGGGACCCCCCCGTCCCTGGGGTGAAGCCCACCATAGGGGCAGGGAGCCCCTCACCTTGCTCCGAAGCAGGGTCACTGGATTGTCCTGTGCCCAGGCACGGTGGGGACGGTGGCTCCTCAGCATCGGGGTGGCAGCAGGAGGGGTCGGCGTCCAGCGTGATGATGGGGCTGGGGGTGGGCACCTGCTCCCCCAGGATGGCTCCCAGCTGCGCCGGGGCCGGGGCCAGTGGCAGGTAGAGCACGCTGGGTTTTTTGGGCACTGGTGGTGGCACCTTGGCCTTCCTGCGCTCCCCCTCGCCGGCTCCGCTCCGCTCCGGCCGCGGCTCCTCCTCCAGGCTGCCCTGTGAGAGCCGCCGGGGTCCTGCCAGCACCTGAGGCTCCCCCGGACCCCTCCTCAGCTCCCCTTTCCGCAGCACCACGAACCCGTCCTGAGGCAGCCCCTTCTCCTTGGTGGCAGTGCCCGGCGGGGATGTGGGGGACAGGGGACCCTCCTCCCGCAGAGCCGGGGGCTTGGGCAGGATGCAGGGGGGCCGCTTGGCCAGCGGTGGCTTCTCTGCCACCGGAGGCTTCACCTTCCTCTCCGGTGCCGGGCAGGGAGCGCGGGCCGGCTCCTCAGCGTGCTCCAGGCCATCGGCGTTGTCCTCTGGCTCCGAGCGGCTGATGGAGCGGAGGCGGACGGAGCGCAGGTCGGACTGTGTGACCACCGGCATGATGGGCGTGATGGGGCTGGTCTTCTGGGCCAGCTTGGTGCCGAAGGTGGAGTCGGAGTGGTGCCGGCTGACCTTCGTTTTCCCCTTCAGGGAGATTTTTAGCCCTGAGAGGTCGAGGTGGGCAGGCGGCGTGAGCGGCAGGTCGAAGGAGAGCCGGGACTTGGGGCTCCTCTCCATGGGGGACGTGGGGGGCAGTGAGGACTTCCTCTCGGGGACCAGTGGCCTCACCCGCACCTGGTGCGGGGAGTGCCCCAGGATGGCGGAGGTGGGGACGGTGGGGGTCGGGGTCTCCGACTGGCTGGAGTACCCGCTGGACGGGGACATCAGCCCCGTGGGACGGCCCGGGGAGGAGGTCTTGGGGTCCGCCTCGGCGGAGAGCTGGGAGGGTGTCGTGGCCCTGGAGACGGAGGGGGAGGCCAGGGACTCGGAGCTGCCCCGTGCCTTGGTGCACTCAATGGCTGTGGTCCCCGTGGCCGTGCTCGAGCTGGAGAGGGACCGGTAGGGATCGCCGGCCTTCCAGTCCGCCAGATGCCACTGGTGGGGGGTGGCCGTGCCATCGGGCTCCCTCCCTGCGCTCCCCTGGGGGTCGGCGTGCACCAGCCGGTGGCCCTGCAGCTCGGGCGGGAGGCACAGGCTCTTGGGCCGGTGATCCTTGGGCATCGCTGAGCTGGTCCCCATGGGGCCATCCTGCCCCTCTTTAATCAGGGAGACGCTGCGTGTGGGCGGCGAGGGCTTCTTCTTGGCCTTCTTGAGGGAGATGCTCTTGGAGCGCCGCCGCCGCTGCCCCTCCTGCTCCAGCCCCAGGGAGACGTTGTCGGTGCTGGTGCTGCCCTCGGAGCTGGCGCTGGGGTAGCCCAGGGCGTAGTTGGCGCTGCCCCGCCGGGTCTCGGCGTAGGCGATGTCCACCGAGCAGAGGGAGCCCGAGTCGGTGGGCACCGACAGCGACCGCTCGCGGAACCGGCACCCTGCCCGCTCCACCTCCAGCCGCGATGGCTCCGGCACCAGCTCCGGCTCCTCTTGGCTTCCCAGCAAGAGGTTCACCTTGGCTTCCCGGCCCTCGCACCTCTGGCCACCCCTGGCAGTGGGGGGGGACTCGTGCACTGTGCCGGAGAAGGAGCCGGGCCCATTGCTGCCCACGTGCTCCTCTGTGGCGATGAAGAAGGAGGCGGCGGCAGGCGAGCCGGGGCCGGGCGATGGGATAGAGCTGCCCGGCGAGGTGCAGGAGGGCCCCTTGCCCTGGCTGGCGATGGGGCTGGGGGGGCTGGCGTAGCCCAGGGGGCTCCAGGGCGGGGAGAAGGGGGTGCCCTGCGGCCCATTGCAGGCGCCGGCGCAGGGGGTGGCCGTGCCGTCCATAGCGGCGGGCGGCGGACAGCAGCGGGCCCCGAGGTCGCTGAAGGTTTTCCTCAGTGGGGCAGAGAGGGGCTGGCGGGGGCTGATGTCCTGGGGCGCCTTCACCCCGCTGGCTGTCTCGGGGACGAAGTTGCAGGAGATGGACTCAGCGATGGGCGCGTGGGTGTTCAACGTGGGGCCGTTGGCGCCGCCTGCGAGGAAAGACACAGCCCGGGTGAGCGTCCTCCCGCCCCGTGCTCTGGTTCTGCAGTTCCACGTGCTGTGGGGCCAGCACTGCTCCCACCCCACAGCCCATCTCTGGGGCTGCATCTCTGCCCAGGCATGAAACATGCCCAGGAGAACAGGAGGGGACGATCAACACCCTCTTGCCAGAAGACTTAAGATGGTCATAACCCAGCTGGGGACAGTCCCTGGCCGGTGTTAGCCCTCCAGCCTGGGATCTGTTGGCTGGGAGGTGCCATGGACAACTTAGCAGCCATGGCAAGAGTCTCTACCCATGGGGACATTGGCCCCATGGCCACCAAAGTGCTGCCCCGTGATGGGGACACCGATAGGGTCCAGGAGGAGGCATTGCTGCCCAGGTCAAGGAGGGATGCCATGGCTCAGTGCCACCTCATCTCAAGAGCTGGGATGAGGAAGGACCCGGGGACCCTGCTTGGAGCACACCCAGCAGACCAGGACACTCAGGGCTGCAGAGGGCTGAGGTCTGACCATCTCCAGGGGAGGAGCCACAATAACCTTTTGGAGGTTTGACCAGTGTCATGGGGAAAATCCTTCCTCCTGCCCAGTGACAATTGCCCCTGGTGCAGCTGGTGCCTTGGCTTCTCCTCCTCCCGTCCCTACCTGTCTCCGGGAAGAGCCCAGCCCTGGTCCCTCTACAGCTTCCACAGGGCACGGCACGACAAACCCCCTGAGCTGGGATGGCTGCTGTCCCCAGGGTCCAACACGGGTCTGTGGCCGTGCCAGGAGAGCTGCAGGGACCCTCAGCCATGTCAGTGCCCTGGGCATGTCAGCGGGGCAAGACCCCAGCCCCAGCAACCCCCTGGCAGGTTGTCCACGGCCAGGGAGGGTGGGCATGGGGCAGGAGCTGCTGGAGCCAAGAAATTTCGGTGGCCTTCTTGCCCCCCAAAATGTTCCGGACCCCTGTTCGGGGTGATGGGCTGTGCCTGATGCCATGCCAGTCCCAGGGCCAGCCCAGTGTCACCAGCGTGCCCAGCACCTTGTCCCCCAGGAGGGAGCGGAGTGAGCACAGCGGCATTTATGTCCCCAGGGCTGGGGTGTCCCCTGGGTGCCCGTCTGTGCCCAGGCTGGCTGCCAGCCCCCGGGGTGGCTCTGCCCACCGTCGGGGCGGCTCCGGAGGGTGCCGGCCCAGCCCGGGCGCTGCCGGGGCAGGGAAGTGGCTGCGCGGTTCTTGCCGTCACCTTGGTCTCGCAGGGACAGGTTAGGGAATCCGATAATGGTCCGTCTACGCCGCAGGGTGGACTTGGGGTTCATGGCGGTCTCTGTGTTAAACAGGGAGTGACGAGCACTCGCGAGCCTAGCAAAGTGCTGCCCTGTAGCCAAAACAAACAGGCTGTACGTGGCGGTGCCGGGAGGGGCTGCCGAGGCGGGGGGCTCTGTCCCCCTCCATCCCTGCACGTCCCCCGGCCTGGGATGGTGACTGCGGGCGTGCGGGACGGCAGGCGGGGGGGAGCCATGCGGGGGGAGCCGCGGGGCAGGTGGAGGCACGGCAGGCGCTGCCGGCGGGTGGGCAGACGGAGACGCTGCGGATGGAGGTGGGATGCACGGAAAGCTGCGGAGACCGGCCCCGCTCTGGTCTGTGCTGGTGAGACTGGAGCCCACACCATTGGGCATCGTTGTTAATGGGGGGACACACGGAGATGAAGACAGCAGGGTGGGGAGAGGGACCAGTGTGGTCCCCCCACATCTCTCCATCACAGAGGGAAAGGACGGACAGACATCTGTGGCCTTCAGAGGGTGCATCTTACTCAGCCACCAGCCCCAGGCTCCGACCTGGGGGCAGAGCGTGGCCCTCTTGGCCGGGCAGGACCGTGCTGGTGGGAGCTGCAGCCCCGTGAGGACGGATGGATGGACGGACAGACAGGCGAGACAGGTTGGAGCGTGGCGATAGCCAAGGTGACCACAGAACCGGCTGGGCTGGGCAGCACCGCGCCAAGGAGAGAGCGGAGGGCGGCGCGGCCGGAGGATGGGACACGCAACGTTGCAGATGGCAGGACGGATGGCCGGGAATGACAGACACCAGCATGGCCCTGCTGTCCCCTGCGCTGCCCCCGGCACCCGTGGGGACACAGGCAGCCCCAGTCCCCCTCCCACCACCCCGACCCCCCCGCAGCCAGACGCTGGGGATAATCCTCACCCACACCCCACATGCTCGCCCCGCTGCCCCTGGGGTGCCGCCCTACCCGAGACATTGATGGGGACGATGTTGGTCTGGATGGAGCAGGACGGGTGCTGCTGCTTCTCCTCCAGGGTGGGCAGGGGGAAGGCCCTGCTCCAGGCTGGCTGCTTGTCCGGGCTGGTGGGGAGGCTCAGGGAGGTGTCGGGCGGCTGAGTGCCCAGGGCGGCCGTGCCGCTGCTCTCCTCTTCGGTTCCTCGCCGGCTCGGGGGCTGCAGGGGGGAAAGGCATGAGACACTCCAAAGGGATGTGGCCAAGAGGGCCAATGGCATCCTGGGGTGGCCAACAGGGGTGGGGAGGGAGGTCATCCCCCCCTCTGCTCTGCCCTGGTGGGGCCCCATCTGGAGCACTGGGACCAGTTCTGGGCTCCCCAGTTCAAGGACAAGGAACTTCTGGAGAGGGGACAGCAGAGGCTACAAAGATTATGAGGGGCCTGGAGCATCTCTTTTATGAGGGAAGGCTGAGGGACTTGGGGCTTTTTAGTCTGGAGAAGGGAAGGCTGAGTGGGGGGATCTGATCAATAAATCTTACATAAATCAATCTGATCTATAAATACTTAAAGGGCGGGTGTCAGGAGGATGTGGCCAGTCTTTTACCAGTGATGCCCAGGGACAGGACAAGAGGGAATGGGCACAAACTGGAACAGGGGAAGTTCCACCTAAACCTGAGGAGGAACTTCTTTCCTGTGAGGGTGGCAGAGCCCTGGCAGAGGCTGCCCAGGGAGGCGGTGGAGTCTCCTTCTCTGGAGACATTCAAAATCCATCTGGATGTGTTTCTGCCCAACTGCTCTGGGTGACCCTCCTCTGGCAGGGGGTTGGACTGGGTGGTCTCCAGAGGTCCCTGCCAACCCCATAGCATTCTGTGATTCTGAGATGAGGGTGGGACACAAACGCCCCCCTTCCCCCCCCCAGCCCCGCTGCCTGCCCAGCTGTGCCAGCCCCTCTCCTGCGGCCGTGCCCCCCTGCCCTGG